CAAGGTCGACAACGGAACAGTCATGTCAAGTATTCTTTACTACTCATATATATATATATATATATATATTATTTCTGTGTATAAAATAAGTAACGAGGATTTCACGTTTGCCAGTTTTGAATAACGAAAATAAAGATGACGAAACCTATTAATTTTATTGCCGTTTTAATTGTGATAAATTAAAATTTCAATAAAATTATCCATTTTTGAAATTTATTTCATTATCCGATGTTATTTTCCAGATGTCTGGCCTTTACACAAAATATACACAGGTTATATCATTTAGAACGTTTTCATATGCTTTAGTTAAAAATTGATTAAATTTTAAGTTAGAAATTTATTCACTAATTATGCAAGATAAATTTGTTCTCTTAACTCTCTAACATTTGTTTTGTCTTCTGCATAAAATACTGAGTGTTATTTTTTTCTAGAATATATTTAAAACATCAAAAAATAACACAGTTGCTGGCTTTCATATTAACTGAAACATTCTATGAGAAGTTGTGCATTGACCGGTTGAGACGGTGATCAATTTCTCAATCTCCTTATAAATAAATATCCAATCACTCACTCCAGAAGTATCAGTGTCTTCTCCAAATTAATATCAATCTAAATGTTATCTTTAAATACTCTTTCACAAGGTGATTAGAAAAAAAATAATTTTATCCCAAAATATCTGTATAATGTAGAATATTATAATAATTATTATTATAATTATTATAATTATTATTATTATTATAATTATTATTATAATTATTATTATTATTATAATTATTATTATAATTATTATTATAATTATTATAATTTTAAACCATATTAAATTAACAAATATAATTGTGACTGTCCTATGCTCTCAACCACTAAATGTTATTCAGTTAATTGGCTTCCTTCTGTCTTTTCTAGTAATATTTTTCTTCCACTGGTTCTAATGGACTCTTCTCTTTTGTACCTTATCTGCATGAATTTAAACGAATTACTACATAAGGAAATAGAAATAAATGTTCTACTTTTGAAATATTTAGATATAACCGTAAGTTATTTTCTAATATTTTTATGCACTTTTTTCCTCTGTAAATTCTAGTTTCTTCCTTCCCTCCCACCTAAGTTCTTCAAAGTTTAAATGTCAACTTCAGTCGCTATATTGTCTTCCTGAATCTTGTTCTTTATTTTCCGTTTTTTTTTGTTTATCTCTAATCTCATTCTCTTTCACTCCCCCCCCTAGCCCCCTTGCGATGTAGTGACATTATCGCCTTGCTTGGTGAAATATATAAAAACAAATTCTATGCAACAATTCAGTTGGGCGTTTAAAAAGCTGAATAAAAATATATCTTTGAAAATAAATGACAACATTGACGAGATAAAAAGAAATTGATCTTGCTTGCATGTCCAATTCAATTCATATCGGAATTGATTAAGTTATGATTGCTGATAAAAATTCTAACTAGGGAAATGCAGAGAGGCTCAATGCAATTATTCAGTCACAAGAAAGAAACGAAAAAAAAATTTGTTGGGGCAGTTGAAAATAAATATTTTGCATAAAAAGCAAAGGTTATATTTGAAAAATTATATTTGAAAATACGGAAAGAAATGAGCGAGAGGAGTGGCAAATTTCTGGAACATGATCAGTTGAGGCAGGCAGGAGAATACTTGTTTTGACAGTGTGAATGGTGTGGCGTAAGGGGGATGGAATGTTGGTGCGGTTAACCGGTTGCTTCTGTATAGCGTGCTTGAGGTGTTATACATACTGCATAGAAAGAAGTCGTTAGATTGCGATGGGAGGTGCGGTGAATGCCTTTCTAACAAGCGAGCAGGTAAATGGCATCTTTGGCGCTTCAGAATATGAATACTGATGAGATTTCTGATATTCAAAAAATCACTTGCACTCAGTCTTTTCCAATCATCGCTACTTGCAATCTATACACATTGCATCTACTTTATCTTGCCTTTTCAGTTTATACAACAAATATAACTAAAATATTGAACAATGAATGATATGTATGAGGTGATCAGATACAGATTTATTAGATACGCGCAATTTTTACCATTGGTCATTTTATGAAGACTAGCATAATAGAGGCATCCAAGTTCGAAATGAGTTTATTTATATACACAGGGTGCGATGGATAAATTGTCTAAATCATGCAAAAATGAAATAACCCTGAGAATTTATTTTATTAGATATATTTAACAAAATTGCACAAATATATCCTGAAATAATATAGAGTAAATATATACAATAAAACCGCCAGTGACTTCAACCACGGACTCCAAACAACTTCTGAATCTCGTGTAACTCTTCTGGTCGGTCTCTTTGTTTTAAGTTGGTGAATGCTGCTATTGTAGACTCGTCCTTTTTCTACCTATCACCCCTAGTAACAGAACAGTCTATACCTTACGCCTACGTAAGGAAAACTTCGACCAATAAAAAACCGTACTAGGCGAATCAACAAATCTCATTGGTTAACGACACAATAATCTGAAAGTTTCACTTGCAAAACAAAATTGCGGCAAAACTTCTTTGAGCCGATTTTGGACTTTCAAAAACAAATAAAAGAAAATACCGACTGACCAAAAGGGTCAAAGACGAACATCCACAGAGAAATTGCCAACATACTCCACGTCACTCGAAATCACGACTTTACCGCGCAAAAGTACATTAACGCTGACTCATTTGCAATTTAAACTCGACCAACTCTGGACATCAAATCGCAAACCTAAAACAACTTTGCTTATCCAAAGTGAACTATACTCACTACATTATTAAGTAACAATCAACATTCGAACGATTCAGAAATATTACAGTCAAAGGTAGACCACTCTATAAGAACTCATTCCTAAAACACTTAACATCGACATTTTTAATATTAATTAAAACAATTCCAGAAAGACTGTAACTGAACATACAAATACAAAAAGAGACATAGCGAAACCTCAAATATCACACACTTTGCCATAGTAACATATACCAAAATATCCTGTGTGTGTATATATATATATATATATATATATATATATATATATATATTTTAATTGTATATAAATGTTTTGTTGGTTTCTAAATTGAATATGTATTGTTTTCATTGTATTTAAATTTCGTTTATTTATTTGTTTGTGGATGCAGAAAGTCACGCAACCTATACAAATTCCTTCTGATTCACTCAATTACAATTAATTAATTCTGCACATCCCCAACACTATAATCCTTGTTTTCGTTTCCTCTTTGTTACTGGTTTCTCTCTCAACTGCACCCTACACATAATAATCAAGGGGACTGCAGTCTCTGGTGTTCGGTGGCCAGATGTATGGGGGTGATATGACAACAGAAATTGTATGGCAGCTATGAATGGGTTCTGCTGCTTGTGAGGCATAGTACAGTTTTCTGTTTCCAGGGTGTTCCAGCAGACACCCTCTTGACCATTGGCAGTACTAACCCCCTGGATATGGAACTTACTGACTTGGAGGGATAGTTTTCAATAGTTGCCTGTATCCGATCAACAAATTCAGAAGGTCTTTTCTTATCAGAACGAACAGAGTGATTTTATTTCTGAGCTGCCGTACCTTCGTAAGCTCCTGTAGAATCATTCAAATCGTTCCAAACATTCTGCACTATCCTTAGACTGACACCCAACACGCACTGAAATGTCCGTAATAGAGCTTACGGCTCGAATGCCAAGCAGTACATGCCCTTTCCAAATTTCTGGTGTAGTGAATTTCGACATGTTTTTTTTTTCTTTCACAGGCGCTACCCAACTGGCCTTACTATACTTTGTAGTCAACAAAATCAAATATAATCAATGCGCATGCGCGAAATTAAAACAAAATAAATATCGACAAATTACCCATCACACACTGTACGTACACGAAAACACACAGCTTTTCACTGTAAATCGGTTACGACTGAATAGTGAATACAATCAGGACTGGGTGTTCCTTACTTTCGGCCATGTTTAAGCTTATTAAATAGCAAGGAGGTAAATGAATATCAATAAATATATAAATTCTCCTTTGATATGAAATTGCGTGCAAAATATATAAAATTTCGAGAGATCATTAAGAAAAAATTTAATTCACCTGATAATCTGTTTCCTTCCGAACTAAACGGTGACTCTCTCTACCCTGAGAGATTCACGTTCGATTCCTGCCCTAGAACGCCTTTTTTATACTAAAATTTCTCGTAATTTCAGGCCGGTAGTGGAATATACATAAATATACATTTTAGCATAAATACGGAGCGCCTACTCGGACACTAGTATGCACTGATAACAACGTTTAAAGTGAAACAAATCTGTTAGATTAATATATCCGCTATAATAAAATGACTAACATTGTGTGTTTTTGAGGGAGATATACTATACTGACACTGGATCTATGATTTAAAGTAACCACATTGTTAATTTGATGGCAATCTCCCAACTGTATACGTCTATATTTAGATGTATAAAATCGAAGAAAAAATATTTCGTTGTCACATGTCATATATAATAAAAACATGTTGCGCAACTACTGCATAGATTCTTGTCCTGATTTAAGTCTGAGAAAAATGACACTGTTGGAATTGTTAGCCAATGTGAAGATTGAATGTGTACAGGATAAATATTCTATTTTTCCTGTTTTTGAAAGACCATATTCCTTGGAAGCAGGTGGTCATGTATCACCAAATATTCTTTTTGAGATCTGTCAACTGTTATATAATTATCCGTAATCTTCATAATAGAAACTTTTATTTTTATAAAATATAAATATTGATTCGTTTCTATGGCTTAACAAGCTTTTGCAGGATATTTGAACCCAGAAAATATTTTTAGATTGTATCCCTATTCAGATAAAATAATTTAGTGATGTAATTTTGACAATTCACCGATAAGTGTAGATGAGCCGAGTCCATACTTTTCCTAAGTATATTTGCGTGTAAGTGATTATAATGAACTCAACCGGAATTGAAACTCTCTCCCCGGTTAACAATTCCGAGCCATAATATTACACCAGCCACACATCCGGGTTTACAACATCTGTATTCCCAAGCGGTCTCCTACCTAGGTTCTGACTAGGTTCGACGTTGCTTAACTTCGGTGATCGTATGGAAACCGGTGTTTTATTGCGATATGACAGTAAGCCTTTTCTTTATATTATAATTCTACACTATTAACATCTATTAAAAAATACGAGATGAAATTTTTCATATGTAAAATTGAATTACAGAAGTGTACTTCCAACAAGCAGCGAAGCAAGAAACATTCATTGTAGTGCTTAAAAAAAAAAAAACAGAAGCCAGTCCAAGAGGACATTTAATATCTATTTTAAGGATACCATCAATTCCACATGCTTTGTGGATGCCCAGTTTAGAGAATTTTTAGAAAAATTATCGATAGTTTTATTTATATATTACACACATACATCTCACACAAAAAGAAACTTTGTCGTAAGATGAAAATCAGGCAAGTATATACTTGATGTGTCAAGCGGAGAATTGAAAGTGAATTTACGGTTTAATTATTTCTTTCTTATAAAGAACCAATGTAACCAAGCAGGCCAATACAGCGATAGCTTACAGAAGACAAAAACATTTTCTGAAAATCTTTTACTTTATCATTTTTCAACATGTTATATGCAATGGTGAATATTAATCCCAGATGTCGATATTTCACATTCAAACTGAATACGTAATTCGGCGTCAAAATGCTGGTTTCTTGAAACTTTCTTATGCTTATTTTTCTCCTTTTCGAATGTTTTACTCGGACTTGTGATCTCCTTCATAATCGCCATTTCTATTCATTTTTTTTAAAATACGCTGTGGATGCCCAGTTTAGGCGTGTTCCCTATTTATCGGACTTTAGATTCTTTCTATTTTTCTCCTTCGCATTTATATCATTTTTATATTGCAAAATGAATATACATATTTCCTCAAGGTAGATTCCGTTAAGCTTGATTTGTTGACAGTTATCGTTGATGTAGCCTTGAATTTGTTTTAAGTCTCTTGAGTTGTTCTCTTTTTCTCTCTCGTTTTGAATTTTTCATGGCTACGTTTTCCTATTTCTACTTGTGTTTATCTTCGACTTACAAATATGGACAATTCTAACCTTCTCGAATCACCCTTTCAGCAAAAGTTTAAGATATAGCAATGCATATGTTAATTTTCTACAAATTTTATTTTCTATCCTCACACATTTATGCTTGCTTTAAAATATCTGGTAAGATTTTGTGCTGTGCAATATTTCTTGTCAGATTTCTAACACTCTTCCTAATCTCCTTAGCTTCTGAACAATTTTCGCATTTTGTTCATTTCATATTTCCTCATATTCATCTATCTTGTGCTCACATGTTTCCATCCACTTTAATATTGTATAAGGTCAGTATTATGTATGTTCCTTGTTGTAATTCCTATTCAATATGGGAAAACAAGAATATGGAATAAAATTATCATCACAAAATAAGCAAGGAATGAACACATGTAGTAATGTGATTTAACTAAATCAGTATTTATCACTCCACTCCAAGGACGGCGATAAGTGTTCGTGAAGAGGAGAAAAAATAAACAGGATTCTAGAAGAATAAATATCATACTTAACAAGCTATCGATTTATGTATGTAATTTTTAATATTTCGTAGAACTAATTGCATTTTTTAATTTATTGCACAATTATCACATTCAAGTTTTTATATCTGTTTGAATTAGTACTAATAGTTACAAATGTTCACAATCTTTTCTTTCTATCCTTGTTTACAGACGGACACTCACATCGGGGCGGATTTTTCACATCAAAACAAACACAAATGCATCCATGATTTTTTGCTTGAGCATACTCCAGAAAAAGTCAGTTTTCTTTCAACAAAGCCATGTATAATGTGCAGAGCTAAAAACAATATAGTTAATGAGATTTCATATTTGTCCAGATTAAAGGAAACTGTTTAGAATTAATGTAAAAGCTCTTTTCTTTTCAGTAGCATTTGTTGCGTGTTCAATCATTTCGTCAATGTGTTTTCTTTCACTTTTTTACAAAATAAAGGACTGCAACTCTCTATCCCTAGGAGTTTTTCTTTTAGATCGAATAGTGTATAAGCGTCTTGCTTTTTAGATTTAGATTTTTCATTTTAGCAGTTTAATATATTGCATTGCCACGAGCTATCATTCCAAGAATTATTATTTCATATATTTTGAAAGCGAAAAAAAAAGAATATCTAATAACTGAACCATGTCAATTTATTTAAATTCATGCTGAAATTATTCTGTACTTAGAACATTTTAAGACTGGTCAGTGATGTATTTGCAGTTAAGTGATTGAACTTAGATCAACGATATAAAATTTAGGTGGCAAGAAAAATATTTTAATGAATATAAAGATACAGAGAATAATACCTATTGAAAGTCGTGAAAATCCATTTCATTTCTTCACATAGATTTACGGTCATATCACGTTGAAATTTATGATCGCCGTAGTTAATCAATATCGACTTCGGTTAATATCTAGTTCAGGAACGCTTGCGAATATAAGGTGATGTAAGGTTGGATGTACAGGTGGTGTAATGGATAATGACTCGGAATTATTACTCTGAAAGTCGAGTTGGATTCCTTTAATGAATCTAACTCTTCCCAAGATATGGGTTAATAAGTAAAACTTTAAAAAAAATCTGTTACCACCCCAAAAAAAAAAAAATTACATTATTAAAATATATTCTGAATTTCATTATCTTGTAAATGGTTGTTAAACCGTAAAAAACGAATCAACCAATCAAGAGTTCATGTATATTCATCCGCTCATCAATTACTAATTAAATATACTTAAACATGGTTTGTTAATATAATAATATAATTAGTTCGTTTTCTTTTTTCTTTCTTTCTTTTTTTTTTTTTTTTTTTTTTTTTTTGTTAATTAAATCTTGATATAATCATTTGATTATGTTAAGCCATTTAAATCTTGATTCGGTTTCTGTTAAAATATATATCGATAAAAATGGGCTCTCGGCGATATATTTGTGATTTATATACTTTTCGCAAATCCAATGACCCATCGGGGGTACCACATGTCCTGTAACCGCATTAGAAATGTTTCTTGGTCAAGCCCAAACCTCTCCGTTTTGAATTCACTTTTTTTTTCTCAGAGACAGGTTGCCATGAAAGGCTATAAAACCCAGTCTGTCCTATTATTTTACATATGGAGGAGAAGATGATTATTCATACCCTTTTCCAAGGGTATTAGCACGTAATGAATGTCACGGATCCGAGCTGGAGTCTTCGATTTCTCAATCCGTGCCGCTACCGATTACTCCACCGTACGTCCTCTGTTAATATAAATAGGAACTATTTTGATCGTATTGAAAGTCATGGATCTGGAAAGCTACAAAAATGGGTATACTTGCTAGAATCAAATAAAAAAAAATATATATATATATATTGGTCACGTTTCATTTTTCTGTGATTCATAATGCTATTCCAGTGAAAGTCCCTCTTCCAAATGTATTTCTTTTTGCGCGTGCGCTGTCTATCCTTGATTTTGGCAGGAAATGATCTCATTCTAGATCAGGCACTTAAATTAATTGCATACAATTATTTTATACACAGAATACATATTAAGGGTCTGCAACTGATATGATGCTAAACCTACAAAAATGTATTAGACTTTAACTTGTAATTAATGGTTGTAAATCAATTATGCCCTCCGATTTAAATATGTTGGCAGTTTTGTGAGAGTTTTCAGCATTTAAGTGGAATCTTTGAGGAGGCCATTAAGGAAAATGATTCCATTAAATCATTTAATTTTATCGCAAAATTCTTGGGAATTTCAAGCATTCTTGATTGTCATTTTAAAACTAACCTTGTCTGACAATATGTTCCCTTTAACAGATTGGTTTTACGCGTGCAATCGTTTCATTATTTATAAAGAAACTGATTATTTTTAATGAAAATATGCCTAAAGTGAATGTGGTTATAAATAATGAAACGATTGCACGCATAAAATCAATTTGTTACGATGGAAAGTACCGAAAGTCAAATGTGCTTTTAAAATGATAATGAAAGATACATGCACATGTTTTATTCAACTAATTGCAGATGTATAGAAAACATACAAGGAAACGCATAGCAAATAAGTCCTACATTAATTTAACCATAAAGAATTTATCTACCGGTTGGTCTGAAGGTCTTATGACCCGTTATCATAAAATGAGAACAATAGAAGAATCAATAAAGTAGTAGAACAAAGCATATGTACAGTTTATTCAATTTCATTGACACTGTCACATAACGAGAAGGTTTGTATAAACACCGTCATTTTCGTGGCACAAAATGATGCGTCGACAAGGCCTGTGTGATATCTTAGAAAGCAGTGCATTGTTGATTGTTTCAAAGGCTCTCTGGACGGCATCGTTCAGCTGATGTTCATTCTGGTAACGTTCATGTGAAACTCACTCCTCGATACCCCACAGAGCGTTGAAACCGTAAATTATATTGTATATTGATGACAAGACTTTTGGACCACTCTGTACATTTGGCTGCACGAAATACAATCCATAACACAAAGTTGGTTCACTGTCACATGCGAGATGATTTTTCTCTCCAGAATGTATCTTGCATATCTAAGTATACCATCCGTGCATGCTTTGAATATTGCTGCCACATATGGCCCGGTTCACCTACTATTTACCTTAAGATACTTGACAAAATCCAAAGAATCAGCAATATGATTAGTCCTTATCGGACGGCTTGACTTCAGTCACTTTCTCATCACTGTAAGTTTGCCTCTCTCTGACTTTTAAATTTAAGCGCAGTACAAGATTGGCGTCTAGATTTCATCGGTTTACTGTTAAGCTAGCTAGATATTGTCGTAAGTTCTATGTAAACCTTCTTCTCTCGATTGTGGAACTGCTTTCCGATTCCACGGTATCCAGCCAACTTCAATCTTCAAAAATATAAAGGCAATGTCAGTCACTATTTTCTGCCCTCTTGATTACTCTTTCCAATTAATTCTTCCACACTCTGTAAGACCTTCTGTCTTAATGGCTTTACTGACTTGCATGGGGTAATAGCGATATTGTGAGGTTCTTCCCAATTGTATAATCTGCCTGAAAGTCTGCAAGTCCGGACAGAAAAGGAAATTATACAAAACATCCTGGC